TTCCAGCTGTGAGGCCTCTGTGGGGACTGTGGAGTGGCACGGCAGACTCAGGGTACTGGCTTGGGCAAAGGAAGGAGAAACTGCCATTCCCCTGTAGAGGAGTCCTCAAGGTGATACATGGCAGTGATACATGGCAGGGGCCTGCTAACTACAGCCTGTGGGCCTATTCTGGCTGACTGCCTCTGTTTTGCAAACAAAGTTTTATTGGAACACAGCCCACTCATTCTGCTTTCATGCTGCAATGGCAGGGTTGAGTAATTGTGATGAAACCATATGGCCCACAAAACCTACAATATTTATTATCCGGCCTTTTATGGTAAAAGTTACCTGATTCCTGGTCTAGAGCATATTGGGTTCTATCTGTGCTTTCTAAAAAGATAAACTCCCTCTCAAAAAACTAAATTCTGTTATGATGTTCCCCAAATCCTACCTCAACCGTTCTACCAAACATTCCAGTGTCCAAGCCTCCACATCCCCCTCCAGCACCTAAGGAAGTCACAGCACTTCTGTAAGCACTGGTCCCTTTATCTATCGTAGCAGGACCAGAAACAGCCACCTCTTAGGCCACTCTGGGGATGAGGCCCAAGAAACGAGTGAGTAGCCAGGAATAAAGGGAATCAGCTTTAATGGTGAGAATTCTGTGAAACTGTCAGTATTTGTGTACTTTTTTTTTTTTTTTTTTTTTGAGATGGAGTCTCGCTCTGTCACCCAGGCTGGAGTGCAGTGGCCGGATCTCAGCTCACTGCAAGCTCCTCCTCTCATGTTCACGCTATTCTCCTGCCTCAGCCTCCTGAGTAGCTGGGACTACAGGCGCCGCCACCTCGCCCGGCTAGTTTTTTGTATTTTTTTTAGTAGAGACGGGGTTTCACCGTGTTAGCCAGGATGGTCTCGATCTCCTGACCTCGTGATCCACCCGTCTCGGCCTCCCAAAGTGCTGGGATTACAGGCTTGAGCCACCGCGCCCGGCCGTGTGTACTATTTTAAATCATGAAACAAATGCGTTTTCTCTGCTAAATGACATCTTTTGTTAACAATAACAACACATTGCAGACAGGTTTTCAGTGCAAGTTAAGTTGTTTATTTCTGGGGGTCCCCAGGGTCCCAGGCAGGAAGCAGAGGATTAAGAAAAAAAGTGTGAATTAGGGTGGGGGACAGCAGACTGGTGAAGAGTTTCTGACAGCACTGAGCTGTGTCCAAAGTGAATTAGGCTTCCCGATATTGCACACTCATTCTAAATTTAGACCTGGAGTCTGTGATGGACAAGGATGAATCCAACCTACGGCAGTCACTGGGGATTTAGGATACAGACACTTAGTTTCTACAACTTCTAAAAGCCAACACCTAAGATACACTCACTAGATTTTGGTCCTAGACTATGCCATTGTGAAAACCAAGTACTACAAAGCTAGATATTAAGCAGCTACCAAAAAGTTCTAAGACACCACTTTCCCCCTCAAGGGCCATATAATCCAGCTAAGAAAACATACATGCACGTAAAAAGATAGCATGGCTCTGTGTATAAAATTGGGATTAAGTTCAGTTATGACTAAAATCCTCAAGACAAGCCAGAAAGTCCAGGGCTGATGGGGCATCTCTCTCCCATGGAGCCCTCTGGGACTTGGGCTCCTTCCTCTAAGCCCCCCACCATCTCTAGGGAGTGTCCCCATCCTCTTGGTTAATGGCACAGCTGCATTCCAGGCAGCAGCGAGAGGCAGGAACTAAGAAGGGACCAAATAAAGTCGTTGAATTCAAAGTTTATTTGGGAGTCAAGTAAAGTTTATGGTGGGAGTACAAAACTAGAGTTTTGTTTCAGGTCGCACACTTTGCTTGTACAACATCTAGATTGCTTAAGTTATGCCTTCATTTATATCTTTAATGCCCTAAGCATATTGATTGAAGAGTCTTTGTCAGACCGTTCTATAAAATTAATTTCATCTGGAGTAAATTGATATTTTGAATGTTAAATCTGTGAACTGTCTTTGTAAGCACTGGGCTTTTCCATGCGTTTTGGAGTTCTGATGTACAGGCTTATTTTGAGGCTTGGAGTAGTTGCTTTTTCATTTGTTCTGTCTTTTTTCTCTGTACACATTCTCCCTTAACAAGCAGTTTTGTAACTGTCACCACTCAGCCCTCTGGGTCCCCAATAGGGAACTGGATCCTTGAATGGCAGTTGAGAGGGTCCTGCCCTGTGTGGATCTGAGGATTCTGTAGATCTGGATGCAGAGGCAAAGGGTAGCTGGTCTCAGCTTCTGGTCACAAAGCAATGTCTTGTTCTCCAGCCTCTCATATCTACGGCTTTTAGAAATTCCTGGCTCTTGGCAGAGGTTGGTCAGCCTAATTTCATGGGTAAGAAGGGAGCCCTACTCCGCTGCCTGCCTTCAGGCACTGAGCCTGTCTCTCCCTTCTACTATCTTGAATAGAGCTCCTTTAGTCCTCCTTTCCCCAGCTTCCACCACCTGTCTCCAGACCTAAAGCCCAGCAGGCTGCAGCTTCAGCTCTGTTCACCCCTCTGTGCTCCTATTGCTTGTCCACAAAGATGTTAATATCTTTTTTGAGTCTGGAGAAGTCTTTTTGGTTATCTTTTAAAAATACTGTATCTGTCAACACTTAGTGATCAAAGAGTGAATGCATGGCACCCTTTTAACAGAAAGTTCCCACAGTCCTTACGATCCAAAGGAGTGGTCCTGCTGAAAGGGGAAAGACGGGGAAGAGATCCCCAAGGCCAAACTATCAGGATTTATGGAGGGGAAGTGACCTGACTTGCACAAACAGGCTTAGGATGGGTGGAAAGAAGCAGAGAAGGCCATCCAGGCCAGAGACACATGGGACATGGTGGGGGATGTTTGTGTTAGATCAGCCTGGCCAGTGCCAGTTCCCTGCCACACACTCTCACGCTGAGCTGGTCTTCTCCTTCACCGGACTTATCACCGTAGTTATTGATTATGTGTTTGTGTGATTATTTGACTAATGTGCATCTTGTCCTATACTGTCAGGTCCATGAGGGCAGAGATTATACGAGTGCCCAGTTGGATCCCAAGCACCAATTTTCGTAGTTAGTCCAGGCTTGGTGAAAAAGAAATGAATGAATGAAGCTGCAGAGAAGGGCGTGGGGTGGCCCACGGTCTGGCTGTTAGGAGTTTGAAATCTTTTGAGAGATATTAATTTAAACAATTACTGTATGGATTCCAGTGGAGGGACAAGTACTTGCTTTGGGCTTCTCCTAGGCTGGCCGGGTTACTCTAAGGACTGTCTCAGGAAAGCAAGCTCTGGGGAAGAAGGCATGGGACCCAGCCATGCCAGGCCAACCCACCAGCAGGCCCCAAAGAAAAGTGGACAAAGAAACACAAGAGTTTTTAAGGAGATATTTGATACAGACAGCAGAAGTCGGCTTTTTTTTTTTTTTTAAATTTTGGTTTAGTTTTAATGAGAATTTTTTTTAAGACAGGGTCTCACTCTGTCACCCAGGCTAGAGTGCAGTGACGTCATCATGGCTCACTGCAGCCTTGACCTTCCCAGGCTCAGGTGATCTTCCCACCTTAGCCTACCAAGTGGCTGGGACCACAGACGAGCACCACCATGTCTAGCTAATTTGTGTATTTTTTGTAGAGATGGGGTTTCACCATATTGCCCAAGCTTGTCTCAAACTCCTGGGCTCAAGCGATCTGTTCAACTTGGGCTGCCAAAGTGCTGGGGTCACAGGTGTGGGCCACCGTGACCGGCCTAAGGAGAATCTTTTAAGTGAGCCAAGCTTATTTTGTCAGCTGGGGTGGGGGTTGGGACAGGGCTGGGGCAGTACTTTTTGCATCAACTGAGAAGCATACACCTGCTGGAACTTCTCTGAGGGAAGAGCCTTGCCATTCACCCCAGTGCCCAGGTCTCGGTCAATATGGCCCCAAACACCTGCCCTTAATTCTTAGGGAAAGCACGAGAAGTGAGGGAGGAAAGCTGAGAAGAAAGAGAATAGCGCAGGACTCAGCAGCAGCTGGGCCTGGGAGGCAAAAGGAGATAACTGCCAGCCCCAGAAACAGGTAGGATGTCTCTAGTTTTGCTTTGGGCAAAAATATTTATCTTCCAGAGTAACAGCATATTTTCTTTTCTTTCTTTCTTTTTTTTTTTTTGAGATGGAGTCTCGCTCTGTTTCCAGGCTGGAGTGCTGTGGCGCGATCTTGGCTCACTGCAACCTCTGCCTCCCAGGTTCCAGTGATTCTCCTACCTCAGCCTCCCGAGCAGCTGGGACTATAGGCATGTACCACCACGCCCACGTAATTGTTTTGTATTTTCAGTAGAAATGGGGTTTCACCATGTTGGCCAGGATGATCTTGATATCTTGACCTCGTGATCCACCTGCCTTGGCCTCCCAAAATGCTGGGATTTCAGGTGTGAGCCACCGTGCCCGGCCCCAACTAAGCATATTTTCTTTAGACAGGGTCTCACTGTGTTGCCCATGCTGGAGTGCAGTGGTCTGAATGCAGCTCACTGCAGCCTTGACCTCTGGGACACAGCGATCCCTCTGCCTCAGCCTCCCAAGTAGCTGGGACCACAGATGCGTGCCACCATGCCCAGCTAACTTTTTTATTTTTATAGAGATGGGGGTGTCACTTTTGTTATCCAGGCTGGTCTTGAACTTCTGGACTCAAGCAATCTTCCAGCCTTGGCCTCTCAAATTGCTGGGATTATAGGGGTGAGCAGAGTAATTAAGCGTTTTTAGAAAGAATTTTATTTTACCATTAATTATTTTGTTTCCATTACTTTACTTTGTTTTCTTTCTTTTTTTTTTCTTTTCTTTTTTTTTTGGAGACAGGGTCTTGCTCTGCTGTCCAGGTTGGAGTGCGGTGATGTGATCACGGCTCACTGCAGTCTCAAACTCCTGGCCTCAATCGATTCTCCTGCCTCAGCCTCCCAAACTCTTGGGATTACAGGCGTGAGCCACCACGCCTAGCCTTCTAAATTTCTTTATGCAAATTCAAGTTTTATTTCTGTATCATGTTCCTGTACCTGAATAACTTCTTTTAAAATTTCTTGTGTTGTGGGTCTGCTGACAATGAATTCTCTGTTTTTGTGTGAGAAAGTCTGTATCTTTCCTTTATTTTGGAAGCGATTTTCACTGGGTGTAGATTTCTGGTTGATAGTTTGTTTCTTTTTCCTTTCAGTGTTTTAAAGCTGTCACTCTATCATCTTCTGACTTGCATGGCTCCTGACAAGAGATCTGCTATAATTCTTTGTTCCTCTGTATATAATGTGTTTTTTATTCTATATTTGCCTTCAAGATATTCTTTTTTATTTTCAGCAGTTGTAATATGGTATGCCTAGATGTGTATGTGTGTGTGTATTTTCTGGTGTTATTTAACCTGGTATTCACTGAGCTTTATGGATCTGTGGCTTTGTGTCTGTCATGATTATTGGAAAATTCTCAGCCATCATTTCTTCAAACATTTCTCCTACCTTATTCTCTTTAATTTATTTCTGGGACTGTAATTACATGTATATTAGGATCTTTAATATTGTCCCGAGGCTTTTGGATGTTCTGTTCTGTTTTTCCCTCAGTCTTTTGTGTTTCAGTTTGGGTAATTTCTATAGCATTATCTTTAACTGTTTATTTCCTCAGCTGTGTCAACTTTATTTATGAGCTCATTGAAAACATTATTTCTGTTACTGTGTTTTCATTTCCAGCATTTCCATTAGATTCTTTCATATAGTTTCTGTATTTTTGCGGAAAGGACCTTTCTAATCTTGCATATTGTCCTTCTTTTCCATCAGAGCCATTAATATATTCATCATGGCTAAGTTCCCTGTCAGGTAGTTTCAGTGTCTGTGTTGTATCTGGTTCTGTAGATGCTGTTCCGTTCTGTTGATGGCTGTGGTGTGGAGCTGGTGTGTAGTTCTGGGCCTGGAACACATTCCTGCTCCTCCCCCAGGGTACAGGTTCTTTCTCTCGCCTTACTCCAGGTCTAAAGGGTTTCCACTGGTGCCCTCATGGCAATGGTGTTGCCTTTTCCCCTGGAGATCAAAGTTTTTATCCATAGGGAAGTTGGGGGAGAAACATCTGGGAGGGGTTTTGTGTCCCTCCTGCCGTGGCTGCTGTCCCAGTCCCTCAGGCCTGTATCATGAGGGATGCTTTCTCATACCCTCCCCCACCCGCCTGGGGTCGTGGGGGAAAGCCTGGAAAAGGGTGCAGACTCTTGCTTCGGACTTCCCACTTTCTTGCCCACCCATACTCCGTCCCTAGCAGTTTGTTAAGTATTCCAGCTGAATCCTTACTGCTATGCGTCTGTGGGGCCCCAGGTGCACCAGTGTTCACGCCCCATCTCTTCCTGTGGGCACCTGTCTCTTCTTAGATTTCAGGCTAGTTGGCTGAACCTGAGCTCTCTGATAGCTTCAATGAGAGTTCTAAACTTGCAGGTTTCCAGCTTTTTTGTTGTTGTAAAGGTGTGAGCAATGTTCTTTCCAGATTGCTGCATCTAAAGCAGAAACTGGGAGTCAGAATTGAGTGAATTTAAAGGAAAAGATAAGGAAAAAAATCATTTGTGGACTGAATTGGTAACCACTTCTCTTGTAGGATAATGCCATTTGGTCTTTCTAATCCTGTGAGGTGAGTAATCACCATTCCCATTTACAGATGAGGTTCTGAGAGGATGAGAAAGGATCTGGGGTTCCTCTCTGGTCCTGCCTGATTGCACGGGAACAGCTGCTCTCCGCTGCCTTCTGAGGCTGTGAAGTACGAGTGTGAGATTAGGGAGGAACCCATGGAAGGAGGCGGTGTGGCCCTCCGTCCTCAGCCTGCACTAAAGCGAGCTCGCCGGGACTGGGCTTGGGGAGTTTAGGGCGATGAGGGAGGAACTGGCATGGCTTGGGTGGGCTGAGGCTCTGGCTGGGACTCACACAGGGACTCAGTAGGAAGTGGATTGTAGGGAAAAATGGCACTAACGGCTGGAGAGACCTGGATGGCTCTCTAGCGAGTCCCTTGCTGCCCATGCGAGAGACAGCAGAGTCCTCACAGCCTGGGAATGTGGCTCAGTCCCAGGGCCGGGATGGAGTGTTTGCCAGTGTCAGGGAATCCAGACTTGGCCCTGTGTGTGGAGACTGGCGGTGGGGAACGGTGTATGGGAAAAGCACAAATGGGGATGGAGCTGCTGGAGAACCACCCCGAAGCTTCTGCTCAGTCACAGCCTGCTCTCCCTCCCTCCGAAGCACTCCCAGGCCCACACGCCAAGGCAAAGGGTAGGAGTGTACACAAATACAAACACACACACACAATCCTTTTGTGACTTCCCTTTGAAGTTTTCAATTATGTTTTCATTCATTTATATATTCCTTTATTCATTCAATAAATATTCATTACTGCCAAGTTCTGCACCCTGGATAACCTGATCTTCCTGAGTGAAGGGGGTAGGGATGCAGAAAGCATGCAGCTTAGTGGCCCTTGGTGCTCTGCTTCTCTCAGAGATGACCCGAGGAACGGCCTGAGTGTGGGAAGGAGCAAGGATCAGTTTTCCGGAACCCCTTCAAGTAAGTAATGCACCAATGTTACCTGGGTGGCTTGCCAGGTGCCAGAACTCTGCTGGGGCCACGCATAAGCTTCAGCTTCAAGCACACCTCTCCCTACACAAAAAACCACAGATCCTCAGCGTGCTATTAGCATTGTGCAGTCCTGTCCTAACCTCTTCCTCCCCCTCCCCCTCCTCCCTCCCCAACACATCCCCCCAGCAGACCGCTCTGCTGGACTGCTTGTTTCCAAGGCTGGTCTTCCACTTTTAGGCCTCTAAGCTTGCCTCCTTCCCCTCTGCGCATCCAAACCACCATACCCTTCAAGGCTCAGCTTCAATGCCACCCCCTCCAGGAAGCCTCTGAATCCTCCAATGAGAATTAATCAGACTTTTTTTTTTTCTCTTTTCTTTTTTTTTAAGATGGAGTCTGGCTCTGTCGCCTAGGATGGAGTGCAGTGGCGTAATCTCAGCTCACTGCAACCTCCACCTCCTAGGTTCAAATGATTCTCCTGCCTCAGCTTTCCAAATAGCTGGGATTACAGGCATGCACCTGCATGCCCAGCTAATTTTTGTATTTTTAGTAGAGACAGGGTTTCGCCATGTTATCCAGGCTGGTCTCGAACTCCTGACCTCAGGTGATCCACCCGCCTCAGCCTGCCAAAGTGCTGGGATTACAGGTATGAGCCACTGCACCCGGCCCAGGCTAACATCTTGACTGTCACATCAGATGGCTTGTACGTCTCTCGCACGTGTGCCTCATTTGGTCCTGTCTTGCTAGAGGCAGCTCCTGGTAGCTGAATTATGCCTGACTCCCAGATTGTGCTCAGCAACAGAACTATGGCCAGGCCATCTCCAGTATAAGCCTTTCTAGGGCTTCCTATTGCTCTCAAGATCAAGTTCGAACCTGCACGTCTCGTGTGACCTCACCTCACTCTTCTGCCCCATCTGTAACTCCTTGAGAGCAGGGACTAGGGCATAGTATGTTTTATTCCTGAGTTTCTGATACATTTCCTGGCACATAGTAAATATATGTACTCAATAAATATGTGTCAAAATGAAATGAAATTCCAGTTGAATAATTGATTTCTACAAGCCAAGGATAAGCCTGCTTCCACACAGGGAAACAACAGACTGGCCTGATGCTCCCCCTTCCTCATTCCACATTTCTTTAGTGTGATTCAGGAAATAAATTGAGTTATAATTATTTGGCAAAATATTCAGATGAGCCCTTCAGTCATGAGTTCTATAACCAGCAAATCCTTGACATCAGCAATGGAACTGCTGCTGGTTGCCTCCCGTCTTTTTTGGAATAACAACAAAAGTTTCTACCAGCCTTTGTCGTGGACAGTGTTAAGAAAGCAAGTGAAAAGTCCCTTTGTTGTTTTTCAGGTTTCTTGGGAAGAAGGGTCCTTGGAACTGAAGATGATTTTGGGGAGTGAAAGAAACCACCTTTTCCTGGTAGTAGCAGAGCCAAAACTCCAGCCTTCAACCCAAAGACCCGGGTCTGTCCCCAGGCATTAGCACCCTCCTCGGGGCCCCGTTGTCATCTGTGACTTTTGCCTCCTGCATCTCAGTTTCCGTGCCTGTCAAGTGGAGATATGATACCTCATTCTGGGGAGAGACAATGAAGTACTGCGGTGAAAAGTACACGTGCTGTACAAAATTAGGAAATCCTCGTCACCAGACTTAGAGAAACATACAAAGTGGAGTTGACTCCCAGGATGGAGACACAGCTTCCCAGGTAAGGACATGGCTCAGTTTTCACCACGCTGAGCTGCTGCCTGAACCCAGGGTGATGGAGCCCAGGGCTGGCCTTTCAGCCCTGGCCACACCTGCTGGATTTCGGGTCACGTGTGCAGCCAGTTCGCCACCCCTCCGCTCACCCAGTGAGCTGACTGAAGCTCTGCCCTGACAGACTTCGGGCTGCTCGAGCCTTTTTGTCTTTCTCATTCCCTCATGAAACTGCCAATGCTGGCCAAAGACAGAAGCAGTGAGGGGCTCCTGACTCTTAAAGGCATCAGGATCACCTGGGGATCTTATTAAAAAGGCAGGCTTTGGAGTCTCGACCTCAGAGGTTCACGGTGGGTCAGCTGTTGAGGTGGGACCAAGGGATGTGTGTAGTTAGCAGTTGCTCAATTTGCTAGGGAGCCAGACAGCAGGACACTATGGAGGAGCCTTGTGTCTGGATCAAGAAAGCGGCCCTCGAAGGGGAAATGGAGCTCCAGCAAAGAGACGTGCAGCCAGGATTAGGGGTACAAAGCCGGGGTGGATGGAGTGACTTACGCAAAGACAAGTCAGGGCTTCCTCCTGGGCTTAGGCCCGAGGACTTAGGGGAGTGACTGCATGGGGCCAGGAAAGGGGAGCTCAGAGGGGCCAAACCTGGAGGCCACCATGCTGCAACTCACCTCAGACAGCTGGGTAAACTGAGGCAAGTTAGCTCATCCCCTGTCCTCAGGATGTAGTGCCTAGGAGCCTGCCAGGCAGGAGGGCCTGGAGGAAGAGCCTTACATTTTCCTTGTAGGAGCAGTGACGTGAGGCTAGGCCCTGAGAATCCTTCACTCTCTCGCTCTCCTGGAGGGCAAAAGACAAGCCTGATCACCGGTCCCCTCCAGCACTGTTTGGCTCAGATACTAGCGGAGCAGGGAGTGGGTCCACTGGGACTCCCTGGAAGACCACTTTACAGCTCTGGAAAGCCCCCTAGCAGTGCCTTCCTGACCCCTTGGCCTCAATTGTTTGCTGTGTCCGGCTTCATGTGTTTCTAAAGGAAACATCTACATATTTGAGACGTGATTCTATCTGATGCCAGCCTGATACTTCCAGCAGCTTCTTCACTCCCCCAAAGCTAAAAATGATGACTTAAAGAGGCCATGGTCACGGGCCTAAACCCAGGTCTGGTAAGTGCAGGCTTAGCATCTAGTCCACTAACCTTGGCCATGGGCTATGGCAAACTTGCTTTTCATCATCTATAAAATGATGGGGCTGGGGAGAGTAAGAAGGAGAATTTGAATTTCAAACTTTTCTCTTCTTGACTGTGGAAACCTTTCTTCAAGAAAAGCTGACAGAGGAAGCAAATATCTGAGGATCCTCTTGGAGCTGCTGCTGTGTTTGAAATGGGAACAGGAACGTCAGGCTCCATGCTCCTTCCTCAGTCTAGGCAGAAAGCCCAGGGCTCTTTTGGGCCTGTTGTGTTTTGTTTGAGACAGGGTCTTGCTGTTTCACTCAGGCTAGAGTGGTGTAGGGGCACAATCGTAGCTCACTGAAGCCTCAAACTCCTGGGCTCAAGTGATCCTCCTGCCTCAGCCTCTCAAATAGCTAGGACCACAGGTGTGTGCCACCACACCCTGCTAATTTTTATTTTTTTATTTTTTGTAGAGACATACGTTGCCCAGGCTGGTCTTGAACTCCTGGCCTCAAGTGGTCCTCCTGTCTTGGCCTCCCAAAGTTTTGAGATTACAGGTGTAAGCCACCATGCCTAGCCCAGGGCCTATTAAAAAACCCATGAATGTGGCCCAGCCATCCTACTTCTAGGTATTTACCCAAGAGAAATGAAAACGTATGTCCACACAAACACTTGTACACAAATGTTCATTGCAGCCATTTTGGTAATAGCTCCAAACTGGAAGCAACCCAAATGTCCATCAACAGAAGAATGGATAGACAAATCGTGCTATATTTGTACAATGAATGAAAAAGAACCAATGAAATGGAATGAATGAACTATTGATGTGTGCAGCAGCCTGGATGAGTCTCAGAATCATGATGCTGAAATGAAAGAAGTCAGACCAGGCCAGGCGTGGTGCTCATGCTTGTAATCCCGGCACTTTAGGGGGCCAAGACAGGAGGACCACTTAAGACCAGGAGTTCAAGACCAGCCTGGGCAACATACATCTCTACAAAAAGTAAAAAATAAAAATTAGCTGGGTGTGGTGGCTCATGCCTATAATCCCAGCACTTTGGGAGGACAAGGTGGGCAGATTACTTGAGGTCAGGAGTTCAAGATCAGCTTGGCCAACACATTGAAACCTCTTCTCTACTAATAATACAAAAATTAGCCTGGCATGTGGCACGTCTGTAATCCCAGCTACTCAGGAGGCTGAGGCAAGAAAATTGCTTAAACGCGGGAGGCAGAGGTTGCAGTGAGCTGAGATCGCCCCACTGCACTCCAGCCTGGGCGACAGAATGAGACTCTATCAAAAAAAAAAAAAAAAAAAAGGCAAAACATTTTTTATTTTATTTATATAAAATTCTAGAAAATTCCAACTAACCTATAGTGACAAAAACCAGACCACTGATTGCCTAGGGATGGGGTGGGGAGGAAGGGAAAAGTTACAAAGGGGTATTAGGAAATTTCAGGAGTGATGGAAACTATTCTACACCTTGATTAAGATGTGGTTTTATGGGCGCATACAAATCTCAAAACATATCAAATTGTATTTTTAAATATGTGCAGTTTATTGTAAGTTAATTATACCTCAGTAAAGTTGTAAAAGAAAAAAAAAAATGCCAAGAGAGTTTTTCATCTTAGAGAACTAGCTTAAAAAACAAAAATTCTCACCAGGCCTGGTGCAGTGGCTCGCTCCTTCAGTCCCAGCACTTTTTTTTTTTTTTTTTTTTTGAGAGGGAGTCTCACTCTGTCACCCAGGTTGGAGTGCAATGGCATGATTTCAGCTCACCGCATCTCTAGAGTTCAAGCGATTCTCCTCCTACCTCAGCCTCCCGAATGGCTGGGATTACAGGTGTCCACCACCACGCCTGGCTAATTTTTGTATTTTTAATAGAGATGGGGTTTTACCATGTTGATCAGGCTGGTCTTGAACTCCTGACCTCAAGTGATCTGCCTACCTTGGCTTCCCAAAGTGCTGGGATTACAGGTGTGAGCCACTGTGCCTGGCCCAGTCCCAGCAATTTGTGGGGCTGAGGAGGGTGGAAATCAATCCAGTATGAGAAATAGAGTTTAATTCAATTGGCCACAGTGCTCAATATGACAACAATTATGTAAAAGTTGAATAAAAAACAGAAATGTGTGAATTCCACACAGGTATATCCACTGTTGGAAATGCATATAAGCTATCTATGGGGTATGCCTCAAACTGAAGATAATGGTTATGTTGAGGGCATGGAATAATCAAGAAAGACTTTTGCTTTATATTTGAATATTTAATAATTAACTTTCCGAGATATCTGTGAATTTTTCTTTTATTTACTTTTTCAAAATTTTTTTGCTTCTAAATGACAAATATGCCATATTTTTCAATTTTCTTGTATTTTTAAAAAAAATCTTTGTAATTTTTTATTTTTATCAGAGATGGAGTTTCACCATGTTGGCCAGGCTGGTCTCAAACTCCTGGCCTCAAGTGATCCACCTGCCTCAGCCTGCAAAGTGCTAGGATTATAGGCATGAGCCACCGTATCTGGCCGATTATAGTAAAACATATATAACATAAAAATTTACCATCTGAACCATTTCTTTCTCCCCCCCCCCCCAAAAACAGAGTCTGACTCTGTCACCCAGGCTGGAGTGCAGTGGCATGATCTTGGCTCACTGCAACCTCCATCTCCCGGGTTCAAGTGATTCTCCTGCCTTAGCCTCCCAAGTAGCTGGGATTATAGGTGCCCGCCACCACACCTGGCTATTTTTTGTATTTTTAGTAGAGAGGGGGTTTCACCATGTTGGCTAGGCTGGTCTCAAACTCCTGACCTCAGGTGATCTGTCCACCTCGGCCTCCCAAAGTGGGATCACAGGCATGAACCACTGTGCCCGGCCCATCTGAACCATTTGTAAGTGAATGGTTCAGTGGCATTAAGTACATTCACAATGTTGTGCTGTTATCACCACTACCCATCTCTAGAGCATTTTCATATTCCCAAACTGAAATTCTGCATCCATTAAACACTAACTCCTCATTCCCCTTTTTCCCACCAGCCCCCTGGCAACCACTGTTCTGTTTTCTGCCTCTAGGAATGTGACTGCTCTAGGTACCTCATATAAGCGGAATCATACAGTATTTGTCCTTTTGTGTCTGGTTTACTTCACTTAACAAAGTGTTTTCAAGGTTCATCCATGTCGTAGCATGTGCCAGAATTTCCTTCTTTTTGAAGGCTGAATAATATTCCACTCTGTGGATATTCCACACTTTGTTTACATACACCTCTATTGATGGGCATTTGGGTTGTTTCCACCTTTGGCTATTTTGAATAATGCTGCTATGAACCGGGGTGTGCAAATAACGTTTGAGTCCTTGTTTCCAGTTTTTTGGAGGAACATACCCAGAAGTGGGATTGCTGATCATATGGTAATCTATGTTAAATTTTTTTGAGGAGCCACAATACTGGCTCCCACAGTAGCTGCTCCATTTTGCATACCCACCAGCAACATACCAGGGCCCCAATTTTCCCACATCTTCATCAACACTTGTTATTTTCCGTTTCTTTGGTTACAGCCATCCTAATGGGTGTGAGGTGGTACCTTATTGTGGCTTTGATTTGCATTTCCTTAGCAATTAATGATGGTGAGCATATTTCATGTGGATCCGTAAATTTTTAGCAATATTTAAAAGATTTCAGCAATAGAGAAAAATATAGTGGAATATCTGGAAAACCTTACATATCTATCTTACCTCTTGAAATGTTTCTGGTTTTCAACAAACATGATGTTGTTTACCTTCCGCTGTGTGGAGTGGCTCTAGATGGTGGCGTCGTCAATAGCCACCGCTCATCTCTGAGACTGCTTGACCTTGAAGC